TGTTGTTGTATTGTTGACGTGAAGTGTTTACATAGTTATCGATCGAACTAATCATAATGGTATTATCGATATCAACTGCAATATCGGCAGTATGTCGGGATTGCAGATAAAGTTCGATGTAAATTAAACAAATTTGACAATTAAACAAATTTGTAAATTAAAATCCATATTAATAAAAATGTTTAAAAAAATATGCAAGAAAATTTTAGCATATATTTTGAAAAGAGGGGAGGAGTGTGGGAAGGAGGGCCCAAAAACGGCTATGCCTAGGGCCTACGAAAGGTATAATTCGGCTCTGTGTATATATGTATGTATGTTTATAGATAACAGTGGATTCAATAGCCTTAAAATGAGGAAATTCGAAGTCAATATTCTGTTTTAACACATGACTGGATTTTGTACCTTAATATATATATAAAAAAAAACTAGTTTTCTTTAATAAAGCATGTTTTTTTTTAAAATTTATTTTTATATTTCAAAACTAAATAAAATACTATTTTTATACATAAAGAACTTTATTGGCTAACAATAAAAAATTCAGAAGTAACAATTCACAACTTCAGTCATGAATACAGACATTTGATAACTTGCATAATTAAGAGGGCACTTTAAGTTTTCCATCATACATAAAATATTATAAACAATTGAATATGATTATGAATTATATTTTGATGGAATAACTGTAAGATAAGTCAAAATTACAAAATCATACTTAAATTCACAAATAAATAATTAAGCAAAACAAGAAAAGTAACTAAAATTTTAAATGAACCAAACAAAAATGCAATTCAAAACTTTGAGTTAGTAGATTAAATATTTTTTAAAAAAAAATCAGATAATCATTTCACTACATAAAAAATTACATTCAAAATGAGTTTACAGATAGTTTTAAAAATGTAGATTGAACTTTCCAAACAATGAGAAAATTATTAAAATATAAAATGCAAACAGACTGTAGTGCATTTAACATGAAACTAATGTGTTTTTAACATAATGTATAAAATGTTATACTAAAAACAAGACAGAAAATGATATTTATAAACACCTGTACATCATTTGAAGATTTAATACAAATATTCAACTAATATAATCAAGAATATATATTTATATTTCAAAGAATATAAAATAACTATTGTTAAATTAAGCACAGGGTGCGTAGGCAGATTTTTCAACTAAAAATAAGCTCCCTTTAAGTACTTTTTAAGCACTCAAAAAATATTTTTAATCACTTTCCAAAAAAATCATAATTAGGATCTGTGCATTAATAAAAATAATTTCTTTCTATTGTTTTAAATTCTTAATTTACGAACATAAAATCAATAAAATTCAAAAAACAATTTCACAAACTTCACATAATCATGATAAAATAACTTGATTCTGATAAATATTTCAGAGAAAATCATGCATTTTTTGCAATTTAGAACGACAATTGACACGGCAAAGAGAAAATCTCTTTTCAAAAGATTGAAAATTAAGGACTTTTTACAAAAACTGAATTTAAAAAAAAAAAGCACCTTTAAGGGCTTACAAAAATGTAAATCAAAAATAAGCACCTTTTAAAAATGCTACGCACTCTGAAACAATTACAAATACTATAATTGTTTAAAAACACAAATATTTTCAAACATCTGCACATCACATAAAGATTTAAAACAAATTTTCATAAAATATCATCAAGAATAAACATTTAATATTTTTTAAATTGTTTCAAAACACCTAGCTTGAATTTTATAACTAATTAACAAAATTTAAGCAGAATCAAATCAAACAAAAATTTTATTCAAACTTTTGTTTAAGTAATAAGTATTATTAGTTACCTTTAACTAATAGTTCAATATTTAAACGAATGTAGAGGCATTCATTGCAAAGTCTTCAGTTATTGCAATCGACAATTAACTAAATAAAGTAAAAAGAAATAAAGAAGACAAACTTTACAATGAATGATATTGATTTAATTATAGGCAAATGATATTAAAACATCTAATGATGGATTAGCAAGTAAAGAAACTAAATCTGCCTTTCTACAATTGAGCATATATAGATATATACAGAATATTCTGTAATCCCCATTTTTCATAGATATTTTAAGAACAAGTGTTGAAAATGAAGTACACTAATTAGGAGGCGCAAAATATTTAAGGAAGGGGGAAAAAAAAACAAGAATTGCATCAAACCGATCACTAGAGAGAAGGGCTGGATGAAAACCATCAAAATCAGTTTAATTGTCTGTTGAAACTAGATTGCCATTGAACCTCTCTTTATTTATTCCAGCAATCAAAACAGGATTTGTGGCTTTCAAATTGTCTTTTTCACAACAGAACTGTTAGATTTAAATAGTGATTATGCTTTTCTTACTAATAGTATTACATATTAATTGCGATTGCTAAAATACATGTTTTGCCATTTTTGACAAGGATTCTAAAAATATATAGTAAGAGTTGCAGTTACAGAACACCCTGCATGAATGCCGGGTGAACAATAAATATTGGTGCTAACATTAAGGGAAGACAGAATATAATGAAATATGCTATGTATGATGAAGTTAGATTTCATACAACATTGATCATCTTTATAGGTTCAAATATTATTAGTTATTAATTATTGTTAACATGAATTAAATGAGAAAAAAAGATATCTAGGTTATACTAACAATTTCAGAACTAATGAAGTATTACATATATAAAAGATGAAATTTAATAATTGCCAAAATGAAATATTACAGGCCTTTTATGAAGTACAGGCAGCCATTACCTTGTCTTTTATGTTTTAATAACTACTTTGTAATATTTTAAAAATGAGTTCCGACTGAAAGTAGATTACTCAGATAAATGAAGAACCTGTAGAAATGAAAATCAGGGTGCATAGCCAAATTTTTCAACATAAAATAAGCACCTTTTAAGCATTCAAAATATATTTTTAAGTACTTTAAAAAATATCATGATTAGGATATGTGCATTATGAAATTTTTTTCTTCATTTTGGTGAAAGTTCTTCATATATACATTAACAAAATAATTTTTAAAGAGTTTACATGATCAAGATAAAATAAAAAATTTCTGACAAAAAATTATTTTTAACCACTAAAAAAACAATTTATACACAATTTTAAGTATACATGCAATATTGAGTAGCTCATTCTATTTTTTAAATTAATTACTTTATTTAATTAAAAAATACTAATTAATTTAACTACTATTTAAAAAGATTACAGAGTGTATTTTTTAGATTAAGTAAACATTATTTACAAAAGCACACTCAACAAAACATTAACAAGATTAATATCATTGACCACACGAAATTTATAAAAATGTGCAAAGAACTAAGCAAACTTTAATAAATTCATATAACAAATGTAAATTAGCGATTGGTCTAAATAAATTTTTATAAAAATTTGTTTCTTGGTTCAGTATTTCTTTAACGAAATTATTAAATCTTTTAAAAATAATTTTGAAATGTTAACACAATGAGCTTTGAAGCTAAACATTTTTGTCAGAAGTAAAATATTACAGGGTTCCTCCACTCGTAATACTTAAAAAAAAATCTGACATAATCGAATTTTTTATTTCAATGTTTTTAAATCAAATCACTAAGAGATGAATTATAAGTTTTTTTTGGAATGACAAATCTTAATATAATAAGATTTTTTGCTGCATTTAAAATATTGAAAGTCCCTCACTTTATACATATTTTAAAATCTTGCCTCTTAAATATTATATAAAAAATACTTAGCACCGGAACTGCTTGTCATATCTATCTTCCATACTTTGATTTTAAGATTCACAACACTTATGGCTAAACTTGAAAGTGAAAGAAATTTTATACGGTGGTCAAGAACTCTCAGAAAAAAAATCAAATTAAGGGACCTAAATTTCATAAATTTTTTATCTTTGCTATTTTTTTTTATAAATAAAATACATCACAAAACACTTTACATTTGCTTTCAGAGTTTAAAAAATCCTTATTTTTAAAATTACAAATAGAAATTTTTTTTTTGAGTGGAAAAAATAGTTCTTTGAGATACCTTTAATTTATATTAATTCCCTTTCCCTGACTTTGTTCATATCTTAGATTTCCCTTATTCTAAAGTGATAAAATTTCCTGTTCTGTGGTCACCTTACTTTAAACTCAACGTTACAACCATAAGAATGAAGAAAAAAATTTAAGGTTTAAAAACAGGTTTCTGACCTACTCCTTAAAGAACTCTTAAAAAGTGTGATTTTCAAATTGTGTGAATACAAATGGTAATGCGACACATCGATCGAAATTGGCAAATTACAAATTAAAAGCCTTGTTAAAATCACCCAAACTGGGAATTTCAATAAAAATTATGGTTAGAAAACAAATTGTAAATTATGTTTTAGTCTCAGCATTCCCCCCCTTTTCTTATCAGAAAAATGTGCACGTCAGTCTACATTACATCATATGCTGAAATACAAATGATTTTGAATAATAGGCAGAAATTTGCAAAGCAAATGAAACACTTTGCATATTGAAAAATTTTTGTTAGAAATATTGCGCTCAACAAGAAGAAATCAGCAATGCTTCTGAGCACTAATAAGTACACTAATATTTGTGTACTTACCAGGGATGTCAAATTTCTTTCAAAGCAACAAAAAATTATGATAAAAACCATACCAGACGGAAAAGATTTAGTTTCTTCCAACCCGAGTGAAAGAAATAGAAGAGACTTTAAAAAAAATATGAAACATCAAATATTAAAGAAAAAAAATTTCAATTGCAGTCTAGTTTTAACAATACTATTAATTTCCAAACTAATTAATATAAAAAATTTCAACACATGAAAATTTAATATTTTTGTAAACATGTGAAGCAATAATCAAAAAGAAAAATAAGCTTAAAAAATTTCTTCTTCTGTTATCCTTCAATATTTAACTTAAATAAGGACAGCAAAACCTAATTTATAATTATATAAACTGCTATAATATAATTTTTTTTAAATACTAAATTAACAAATCACATATACACTACACAAACATAAAAAAAAAAAGTATGAATACTCAATTGGAAATTTTTTTTAAGTTTTCACATTAACTTTCACACTTATTAACAAAATTGAGAAAGTACAATAGGATAAAGACAACAATTGATGCATAGAAATAAATGTAAAAAAATACACAATAACCAACATTTTACATTTCGCCAGATGACATAATGAAGAAATAGATACATCTAGTAATGCAAATTATTGTATTTGAAGGCTAAGCCAATAAATGTTCAGCATTTTTTGCAATAATACCAGTCAGCTCATTATAAATTTTAATGTAACTGTTCCTCAACTCTGGTGGAACATTAGCACGGTTGTAGAGCGTGGACGCCAAATCAGCAATGATTTGATTAATGCTTTGGTAAAGCTCAAAACCAATGGGATACTTTAAGAACTTGGAGGTTTCTTTAAATCCAGAGTACCACGTAATGAAATCAGTAGAAGTTTGGGATGAGAAACCCGAGCTGTTGGAGGCACTCTGAGTATCGACGGGAACGACTGTGAGAACAGAAGAAGGCGGTTGCTGGACGGACAACTGCAAATCGTTAAATGCTTTGGAATAAAAAAAATTGTTGTTCTTAAGGTGTTCTTGTTGATGTGCCTTCAGCTCCGAAGGATCAGCAAAAAATTTGGGACAGGCCATGCAGGAGTGTATTTTATGAGATTTCATGTGAAGGTCTAGCGATTTTTGCTTAGGAAATCTCCGTTCACAAATAAAACACACATGACCTTTCGTTTGGCCCCTATTTGGGGAACAAATAGAAACCCTTTTAGAACGGGTCTCTTCTGGATCCGATTCAACACTCGTGAAAGAATCGGCGTCGGATTCGACGTCTACTTCATTAAAGTTTGCGTTAGATTCGTCATTAGAGTCATTATCGTCACAGTCTGAAGTTTCACTCAAGAAGTCGACATATTCCTTGTCTTCTTCGTGCTCGGCAGTCGTATGCAACCACAGTTCTTCATCATTACTGAAAGGCTTCCGGCAGAACGAGCAAGCCAGTGTGTGGTTGGTGATGTGTATGATTTGCTTAGCTACTGTAGGAAACACGGCATCGCATCTGAAGCACTGATAAGGTGGCGTGCTCATATGTTCAGATTTATGTTTTCTGAAACCAATACTGTGGAAGAACTTTTTGTTGCAATCTTCGACGGAACACGTATAGATCTTTTCCCCTCGATGTATCTGTTGAACGTGTGCTACAAGCTGAGGTTTTGACAGAAAGCTGATCAGGCAGTGCTTGCATTTGTAGGAATGAATATTTAGGTGACTGCGAAGGTGCCGCCGATAGCTTCCGATTTTCCGAAACTTTTGTTGGCAATTTGGACATTCATGCCCATTAGAAATTATATTTTCAGCTACGACTTTGGTTTTTGTAGTGGTCAATACGACATTTGTAGAAGAGAAATCCTGAATTAATGCAGAAGTTAATGCTGTAAAGATGAAAACATTTTGTTAATAAAAAAGGACTTTCATGAAACAATTTTTTTTTGTTGTAGTGATTCAAACAAAAAATGCATTCAAATATTACACATATTTTTGGAAATGTTGTACTCATTTGTACTTTGTAAACAGAAATAAACAAATTATTAACCAGAACAATTAAGTATTATTACTATTTTTTACAATCAAAATAAAGCAGCAAAAANAAAAAAAAAAAAAAAAAAAAAAAAAAAAAAAAAAAAAAAACCTAAAACCTCTTAAAAATTGCAGTTTAACAAATAGGAATCCTTAGAAGCTATGCAACTATACACAGCAGATTTAATTGAATTATAATTTTGTTCATGAAAACATAATTTTTTGTATTTTATAGTATTTTCTGCAATGGTAAAATTTTTGCACAATGGTAATAACAATCTAATCAAAACTTTAAGTTAAAAAAAGTACAACAACAAAAAGCAACTAAAAAAAAAAATTAAAATAAATAAAATTTTTTTTAAACAAAACATTTTATTTCATGAATGGAAATTTATTTAAATAAATTTAAAGAGTAATATCTGATAGAATAAGTTTAATAACATAATTGCTCATAAAAAATGACATAATTCAAAATAATGATGATACACTACAAAAAAAANAAAAAAAAAAAAAAAAAAAAAAAAAAAAAAAAAAAAAAAAAAAAAAAAAAAAAAAAAAAAAAACGCAAATTGATGATGAAATATTTCTGAACAAATTACTTTTTCATTATAAAAAGTACATAGCTCTTTGTTTAAAAAGGAGTTATAAAACAGTTTAGTCAAAAGAAGCAATATTAGATTTTACCAAAAATAAGTTTTATCTCTATTATTAAAATGCAAGTTCAACTAGGTATCAAAAAAAAAAAAAAAAAAAAAAAAAAAAAAAAAAAAAAAAAAAAAAAAAAAAAAAAAAAAAAAAAAAAAAAAAAAAAAAAAAAAAAAAAAAAAAAAA